GACTCATTGATTTCAACATGTCAGGTGTGCCATACATTTTACATGCATTACTTTGGTTTTTTCTTCATTACAACTGGAGTAGATGTTTCTCTTTGACGGATGAGGAAACAGGGATAGAGAGGTTAAGGAACATATTTGAGGTCAGTCACATACAGTCAATTAGTGATGGAATTGGGTTTCAAATCTAGGTCTTTTAAACTGTTTTCCTGAAAACTGTTTATCATCTACTTACTATGGACACAGCTACTGAGGGGCGGGGGACTGGTGACATCTTGAAAAAAGTTGAGAGTGATTTTATATTGTAGAGCGAAGGAAGATAAAGAATTCCATTTAGGTTTCTTTCAGCTGATCTTTCTCATAACTTAATCTCTAAACTACAAATATTCTTATTCTCTTTTTTACTTAGGTTGTACCCATTAACTCAGTCTCTGATTTTCCAACTTAATGAATGATTTTGTATTTGAAATTGTTTTATGAAAATTTCCACATGCTTTTAAGAGTAAGATGGAGAAAAGTGGCCACGACAGCAAGAAGCTGGCTGTACTATCACCAAAGCTTTGGTGTTGCTAAGAACTTACCTGCTTAGGCCTCGTGTTCTGTTGAAGATAAACAGTTGCACAGAACATCAACATCAGATGAGGCTGAGGCTGCTTTGTGTCCGTGATGGATCAAGAGAAAAACAGTACCACTCAGTAATTGTGTACAAACACAGACAAAACATTAATGTTGTCTAAGCCACAAAATGCCAAACATTACTACGCCCTCTCCCAGCTACTATGCATGACTGCTGCCTGTATTAGTTACAGCTTTAGCCTCACCCTATAGATCCGTTTTTACTAAGATGTCCAATCATAGAATTACCCTCACTTCCTGGTAGCATTCGGTACTGAGCAAAGCTCTGATTTCTTTTTCTTTTTCCTTTTTTTTTTAAACGCCTACAGCACCTGGTATTCCACGGTGATCTCCCATCCAAGTACTAACCAGACCCGACCCTGCCTCGCTTCTGAGATCAGACGGGATCTGGCGTGTTCAGGGTGGCATGGCCGTAGACAAAGCTCTGATTTCTTAAACCCTCCTCCAAATCACCTAACACAAGCCCAAATCCTGTCTTTTTTAACACTCTTATTAAAGCACTCTAGAGCTCCCCATGGTGGGCATCAAGGTTGCATGTTGATGCAATGAGTAATAAACTCAACTAGTTTAACTGCAGTAGTGTTCCTGGTGTTCTTTGGAGGACATTTCATGAGAAAGCTTGTTAGTATCTTTGACTCTTCAGCTTAATAGTAGAGATATACTCAGATTGGATAGTATAACAAAATTAGAAATGATTAAACATAAATATCATAAATGTCATGTTTTAGCTATGGTATATATTATACTACCATTGTTTAAAAATGTGTTTTTCTACTATGGTTACTGTTGCATTTAAGTATTCATAAATTCTAGAGCTCTTTCAAAGTCTGATTCAACAACTAAATGAACATGTTAAGTTAATAGTCGTTAACAGAATTATGTGGAGGCCTCAGGTCATAGTGAAAGAGGCTTGTTTTTTTTTTTAAAAAATTCCATTTCTGCTTAAATTTTATATAAAATTCTATAGCAAAGTATATATATTATATAATCCTATTATCTTTTTTTTCTGTCAGACATGTCAGATTTGAAAAAGTGACTTTTTAGCATGAAAAGTATCATTTGCTGTTGAGCTGTTTTGAATTTTTACTAGGAAAAATCTTTTGTGACAAATAAATTAAAAATTGCTAAAACATACTAACTTTTGTTGGTTTGGAATATATTTTGCTAAAGCCATATTTTAAAATCTTGTGTTCTTTTTGGAAGTAAATAATAGAATGAAGTTCCTATTATATACTACACTGATACAAGTTTCAGCATATTTTTTTCAGGTAAAGCTTCTTTCCTGCATTTTCACAGATTACATTATCCCTCAAACATTAAATTCAGTGGATGCTTTTTTTCCTTAACTCTCTTGCTTTTGATATTGCTGACTGGTTGTTTTTTGTATCTCTTTTTCTCCACAAATTATGTCGACTTGGTTTTTTATATATCTTTTTTTTTTCAATTACTCCTCCTTTGTATTATTTCTAGCTTCTACTGTCACTCCCTCAAATGAACATTGCCCAGCATTTTTCTCCCCCGTCTGTGCTCATTTACCACAGCTTCAACTATCATTTTTAAAATAGTTAACTCGTAAACATTCTACTGTGGTCCACTTCCTTGAAGTAGATCCTTGAATTTCTAATCTGCTGGAAATTTCCATTACCACGTTTTACTAGCTCCACCTTATCTAAACCACACCTTTCCAAACCAGCTAGTTTCTTCAAACTTATTTGTGTCCAGGTTTCCATCCATATTTAGTTTATAGGATTTAAACTTCTGGTCATCAGTGCTCCTTTCTTGCCACATATCTAATTAGTCACTAAGTTTCATGGGTTTTTGAAAAACATATTTTAAAAAAGTTATAAGAGGAAAGAATAGTCTGTTCAAAAAATGGGGCTGGAATAATTTTATATACACATGCAAAAAACCCCTGAACCTTGATGACCCTTACCTTACGCCATTTGCAAAAATTAACTTGAAACAAATCATAGACTTAGGGAACTATAAAATTTGTAAAAAAAAAAACAAACGAGAATATTTGTGATCTTGGGCTAGGCAAAAATGTCCTTACGTATGACACAAAAATGCACAAGTAATTGATTAAAATTGATAAAAAATGGATAAATTGGACTATAAAAATTAAAAACTTTTGCTTTTAAGAAATCATCACACAGATGTTTATAGCAGTCTTATTTATAATTGCCAAAACCTAGAGACAACCAAGATGTCCTTCAGTAGGTGAAGGCATGGATAAGCAAACTGATGCATATAGATAATGGAATGTCATTCAGCACCAACAAGAAATGAGCTATCAAGCCGTGAAAAGACAACGAAAAACCTTAGTAATGCATGCTAATAAGTGAAAGAAGCCAATAATCTATGATGACAACTATATGACATTCTGGAAAAGGCAAAACTATGGAGGCAGTACAAAGATCAGTGGTTGCCAGGGGTTAGAGGGGAGGGAGGGATGGCCAGGTGGAGCACAGAGGGCTCTTGGGGCAGTGCAACTACTCTGTATGATTCTACAGTGGTGGATCCATGTCATACACTATGTCCAAAACCATGAAATATACAACATCAAGAGTGAACCTTTTTTGTAAACTGTGGACTTTGGTTGATAACGACGTGTCAATGTGCATTCATGGGTTGTAACAAATACCCTACTCTGGTGGGGGATGTTGATAATTGGGGAGGCTGTGTGTGAGTTGGGCAGGGTATATACGGTAAGTCTGTACCTTCCACTCAGTTTGCTGTGAGCTTAGAACTGCTCTACAAAATCTTGAAAAAGAAGACATTATCAAGAAAACTTAAACCACAGACTGGGAGAAATATCTACAAATCATTCTTGAAAAAGAACTTGTATCCAGTATATATATATAAGTATATACTATATATTTATATATAAATCTTACAACTCAATAATAAGAAAATTTAGCTTTAAAAATGGGTAGTCGATTTAAGATACTTTGCTAATGGTTATGTATATGGATGTATAGACAGCAAATAAGCACATGAAAAGATGCTCAACATCATAGTCACTAGAGAAATGCAAGTTAAAACCATAACGAGATGCTACTGTACACCCAATAGAAAGACTAAGATCAAAAAGACTGAAAATAACCGAGCATTGGTGAGGAAATGTAGAAATTGCAACCCTCATGTGAGGGTTTATCTATTTTTTATCGATTTTTAATCAGTTGTTTCGCTTTTTGTGTCGTATGTAAGACATTTTTGCCTAGCCCAAGATTACAAATATTTTCTATGTTTTCTTTTAGAAGTTGTATAGTTCTCATATCTAAGTCTGTGATCTGTTTGAAGTTAATTTTTACACTGCTGGTTGGAATGTAAATGATACAGTCACTACACACTTAGAGGGACCAGCTTAGCAGTTCCTCAGAATGTTAGACAGAGTTACACAGGACTCAGCAGTTCCCTTCTTAGGTATGTAGTGAAGAGAATTGAAAACATAAGTCCACACAAAAACCTATACATGAATGTTCATAGAATTATTCATATTTCTGGATTATTCATAATCCAAAAAATGGAAACAACCCAAATATCCAGCAGTAGGTGAATAGATAAACAAAATGTGCTATTTCTGTACAATGGAATACTACTTAGCATAAAAAAAAAAATCTACTTATTGATAGATGCTACTATAAGGTCTAATCTCAAAAGCATATGTTAAGTGAAAGAAGCCAGACACCAAAGACTACATATTATATGATTTATTTACATGAAATTTCCAGGTTAGGGAAAACTATAGAGACAGATAGCAGATAGATGGTTGCCTGTGGTGGGGTTGGAAGTGAGGATCGACTATAACATGGCATGTGAGAACTTTCTGGGGTGATGGAAGCGTTATCAATAGTGATTATGGTGATAATTGCATGACTGTATGAATTTACTAAAACTTATGGAACTATTCACTAAAATGGGTGCCTTTTATGGTATATAAGTTTATTCTGCAATAGCAACAACAGCTTGTGAGTTTAAAAACAATTCCAGGGCTTACTGATAAAAATAAGAATTCACGAATTCATACTGATAATAAGCAGATAAATTTGGACAAAGGAATAAAATGGTTAAGTGCCAACTGGTAAATATGCAGGGAGTGGTGGAATTGGAAAATTAGCATTTTGCAGACATTTAGAATCAAAGATTGGATCAGTTAAGAATCACCAGTTGCTGCTAAATCTCAGACATTTTGATCAGGAGCAGGATTTTGCGTGGTCTGAAAATGTCTCCTTAGAGACCGCTTCTTACAAGGGAGTAGTAGTGCAGAAATCAGGCAACATCTTGATCAGATAATAATTAGTCTAAAAATACTCTGATATTGCTATAGCCATGCTCACTAAAGTTTTTTTTTAAGTACCTGCAAAATGGCGGATAATTTGGATGAATTTATTGAAGAGCAAAAAGCCAAATTGGCCAAAGATAAGGCAGAATTGGAAAATGACCCACCTTACATGGAAATGAAGGTAAAGTTAATCATTTTCTTCGAACATGTTTCATTAAAAATGTCTCTGATGATTAGCCCTGTATAAATGTGAAACATCCTCTTCAGAGTGAAAATCTTCAGTTTCATACTTCATTGTGGCTGTGCGGTCATTCTAACTCAGAGCCTGACTCTGGATAAGATGTCAGTAATTTTGAATGCGGTTTTTCTTCTGTGGAGTTTTATCTTACAGGTTCTCCTATCTCTTACTAAAATTTTTTTGATATCAACAAAAGTTATTTTGAATGAATTTATTAGAATAGTTCTCTTATTGTGTATACTTTCAGAATATAAGTTTATTAAAATGTTTCTGAAAGCAATGTCTGAAAAAGCTTTCTTAAGCTTTCCTATTTTTGATAAAAGAGTGATTCATCTGTTTAGCAGATACTTATTCAGACTGTGCTGGGTCCTGTGCCAGGCTCAGAGAATACAGCACTAATCTAGACAGATGTGGCTCCTTCTCTCCTGGGTTCAGTGTATGTAATAAGGTGAAGGATGTAGATTAATCTGTGCCATTGGTCCATTATAATGAGAGTAACCCTATATATTGGTTAGCCCAAGACAGTCCTGGATTACCTATTGTCCTAGTGTCTCATCTATTTTAGCATTTGTCCTGGACAAAAGTATGGATGAGATGATAAATAACATGGATACCCTAATTATAAAGGGGCTTACTTACATAGCTAACATTTATTGTGTGCTAAATATGGATGAGGCATAGTCTTATGAGGATACATATTTGATATTTCACCTGAATCTGTGAGATAAGTACTGTTGTCATTTTCCAAATGAGTAAACTGTGGCAATGGGAAGGTAAGTAATGCAACTAAAGTGATTATAGAACTAGGCTTTGATCTCTGGCAACCTCAATCCAGTGCTTGTTCTCATAACCATCATACTGTGTCTTCCTGCCATGTACAAGGAGTTGTGCCAAGGACTTTACATGTATTATCTCAATCAGTCATAATATCCCTGTGAAGTAGAATTCTTTTTGTTTTACAGATCAAGAAAGTGAGGCTTAAAGGGATTACGTAATTCGGCTGGGTGCACACAGTGGAGGGTTCGGGATTGGAATCCTCACATGTCCAGTTCCAAAGTCCATTCTCTTAACTACTCTCCAGTTCTTAGAACTTAGTACAGTGTTTGGAAAGAGTTATTACATAACTTTAAATACAGCTTTGCTATAATTTCTAATATTAAGTGGTACATAGTAATAATCTTTAAGTCTTAGTTCAAATATCACCTGCTCAGAAAGGCCTTGCAGCCTCTCCTCCATCATTTTTGGGCATCCTTACCCTGCTCTGGTTTTTCCATAGCCCCTCCCTATTGGTCTCTACATGTTACATAGTTTAATTACATACTGTATTTGCTGTTTGTTTCCACAGTAGTTTATAAGCTCCATGATGGCAGAGATTCTTGTATGTTTTTTTCACTCATGTATTTATAGTGCCTGGAACAGTGCCTGGGAGGAATTCAGTACTAATATTTGTTGATGAGTGAATGAGCTAAATATTAGAACATTTATTATAGTTTTAAATACCTTTGGTTCAGGCATGGTAACAGATTTTTGGCGGGCCCTTCTCTGTGGGCCTCTCATAGTGGACCCATGCCAGAGTAACCTGCAGCCTCAAACCATTGCCCAGCCCCTTACCTGTGGGCTGTGAGCACTGAAGGGAGTTGTACAGTGTGAAATAAAAAAAGAAAAAAAAATACCTTTGGTTAATTCCTCAAACAGTACAGTTAAATTTCTTCTTTGATGTACTGCATAATTTCGTCAAGTTGTTTAATAAGAGTACTAAGATGAATTGTCTGTTTTGTAGGTTCCTACCCCCTCCTCGCTTTTGTAAATATTATGTCTCTTTCAGGGAAAGGCATCAGAGAAGCTTTCTGAAAACAGTAAAATATTAATCTCCATGGCTAAAGAAAACATACCACCAAACAGTCAACAGACCAGGGGTTCCTTAGGTATGTCACTAGGTGTGCTAAATTGATTTTAAGATATTCTTAGCAGACTGTTGTGAAAGAGCTTTGTCTTGTCAGAGAAAAGGTATTTTTAGAGTCGGGTAACTTTCCTTTCTGGAATCTTACATGTGACAGTATGGACTATATGTGAAATATAATACATACCGAAGACCTTGTACCTATTTTAAATGTTGTTGCCTTGATTATGATTTAAGGAAACTATAGCAGTAAATATGCATAATTGAAAATTAATTGAAAAAATTGAATGGAGAGTGTGTGAGAAGGAATGTTAATTGTTGAATGAAAATGGTGGACTTGCTTTTATTTAAAAATCAAAGACAGATGATTGATACAAAATGCTATTTGGTGAAAGACCATTTTAATTATTGACGACTATCTTGGACTTGTAAAGAAATTAATACTGCAGCTATACTGATTCTTTGATTATGGTTTGACATGAAAATATTTGGAACTTTTTACTCCATTTTGGCTTGTTGGTAGGTATACATCCTTTTAAAAGAAAACATATGAATATTTAAAAAATGTATCCTCTGTATTATTGATGGCGACTGCAACTTTTTCACATAAAAGAAGTCAAATATGATGAATTCATTTGGTTACAGCATTGTTCACATGTGGACTATTTTTTGTGACCACTGATGTATTCTTAAATTGTTAGCTGCCTTGCATTTATATGCTGCTGGTACCAAGGATATTTGCTTAGAGACTGAATAGTTAGTGGATTCTTTGTGTCTATTGAAAAAACAGCTGAAAGTGAATGCTGTACTTTTAGTATTGGATATATAGATAACACTTTCAGATCTGTTTCTCTTACAAATTATTGGCTAATGTACAGCTTTGGTGATCTTAAATATTCTACATATTTTGGTTCAGTCCCTTAATCTCTAAGGCCCTCAATTTCTTTATCTGTAATATAAAGAAGGTAGATTATCTTTTAGTCCTAAATTTTTATGAATCAAAATTTGACTATTTCAAGACATATTTTAAAAGTTTAGTGTTAGGTTCTCTCAAGCACTAAGGTCAGACAGAATTACTTTGAAATTCTGGGGATGCAAGTTGCTTTGAGTTGTGGCTGTCATGCCTTTGTGACCTGATACAAATTATTTAAGCTCTTTGTTTCCTCATCTTAAGAATTGGCATCTATCATAAAAAGTTATTGTGGCAGTAATTGAATACATATGAAAAGATGACTGGCACGTAATTGGTGGAAAGTAAATATTAATTTCCTGACCTCTTTTACATCTTTTTAAAAGTAGGTGTGTAGTTTTTGAGAATTGCATTAAGAATTATTCTTTGGTTATTACAGTCACAAATGATGGAGAATTTAAAGTCTAACTTACAGTGACCTCTGCCTGTTCCTTGGTAGGGGTCCCTTAGGACTCTGTCTTAGGCCCTCTTTTCATTTCTTACATTCCTTGAGTGACCTCATTCACTTACAGGGCTTTATTTACCATCAGTTTGCTCATGACTCCTAAATCTCTATCCTATTCCCAACTTCTTTTATGAACTTCACACCTGTACATCTAATTTTCTACTGGACAGCTATCTGTATTTGGATGTCATGGCCTCAAAATTAACATGTGCAAAAATGAATTTCTTTCTCTCAAACTTTTAGTGCTCTTGAGAGCTGGCTGCCTGGTCACCCTTGCCTTCCCTCTAGCCCACAGCAAGTAATTACAGAGATCAGTTGATTCTAATGCCTAAACCTCAAATAAGTTTACTTTTCTCCAATCCTACATATGTTATTTTATGTAGGTCTCCATCGTCTCACTTAGATTTTTTTTCTTGTGTTCTTTTTGTTCTGCCGTCTCCCCTCTCTACTAAGTTTCTGTACTGCCCATTCATATCCTTCCGAAGAACAAATCTGATCGTGTTAGTCTCTGCTTCAAACCTTCCAATGGCTTCTTGTTTCTTGCATGACAGTTTCACCCTTTTATTACATTTACAAAATAGTGTTGGCCATTTTTGCCTTGTGCTCCTATGGCATTGGTTCTCTCTGGGAGGACAGTTTCTAACTGGTTGGGTTCTCTCTTGTATTGCAATGGCACACCAGCTTGCCTGACATTGTGTATTCACTGCCTAGCACAGGCCTGGCACTTTAGTGCTTAGAAAAGATAGTTTGAACGCATGAATGAAGGTCCCCATTGCAAAAATAAACAGTTCTCTTGGGTGTGTAGAATTTAATTTTCGTGGGATGTTTCTTTTATTGTCAACTGAAGCAAGAATTGTTTTTGATGCACATCGAGTCTTATTAAAGAATAATTTATGATTTGACTAATTTTATACCTCATTAGCATTCATTTACTGACTTTGCCTGAATAATTGTGGCCTTAAAATTAGGCAAAATATACAATTTTTGATATTAGGAAAAATGTAAAATGATTTGACAATAGCTTTCCTTAGGTGATCTCATCTAGGATTTATAAAACAAACTAATAAAGGTTGTTTGGAAACTGTATATTGAATTAAAGCTCTGTGACACCGTACTTGGAATGAGTAATTAAACATAGTAGCTGTCAATAATATATAAAGGGGCAATATTCATTTTAGCTAGTGACAGCAATAGCTGATAGTACAAATCTCATGTAACACTACATTGTCATGATTTTATAAATTTATTTGTTAGATACTGATGCTATTCATGGGCAATGCTTATCCATGTGGCTCATTTTCCACCATTTATACCTCATAAAAGGATTTGAGGAGCATTACAATGACTTCTGACACCAACTACCCAGAGTTGGTCCAGACTTCCCAGATTAAGGGCACAGTCCTCCATGAGACTTCCCTTACCTCAGACACAGCTGCAGTTCAGGGGTCCACAGGCCATCCTCACTTCTAATCAGCTGGCTACAGATACCCCCTCAAGTGTGATTCACTAAAATGACTCACAGAACTGAGGAGAGTGCTATACTTATTATTACAGTTTCATTATAGCAAAATGATACAAATCAGAAGCAGCCACCAGGAGAGACACATGGCACAGTGTGGGAGTGTCCAAACATGAAGTGTGTTGGCCTCAGTGATGTGTCACCCTCCTGGCACGTCAATATGTGATAGTATGCAGACTGTTGCTAACCAGGATGCCCACCTGAGCTCCAATGTCCAGAGTTTTAACTGGGGTTTCATTGTGTAAGCATGACTGATTGAATCATTGCCCATGCAGCTCACACTCCTGACCTTCTTTCTTTTGAGGTCAGACTAATGTCAGGTGGCTCAAAGGTCCACCCGTCTAATCACATGGTTAGTCTTCCTGGTGTGACCAGTCTTCATCTGTGCCATGTCTTTAGTATAAACTATCTAGGGGCTTACCATAAGTCACCTTTTCATGTTTAATGACCATTAATGTAGAGAAATGCTTCTATTAATTTTTTTTAAAACTTAGATCTGGCACACCTCAGAGTGATCACCCTAATAAGTCTAGTACCCATCTGACACCATACATGGTGTTTACAGTATTATTGACTATGTTCTTTATGCTATACTTGATATACTTGTAACTGTTTTTATAGCTGCCAATTCGTATTTCATAATCCCTTCACCCTTTTCACCCACTCCCCCAACCTTCCTTCCATCTGGCAACCATCAGTTCTCTGTATCTATGAGTTTGTTTGTTTTGTTTATTCATTTCTTTTATTTTTAGATTCCACCTATAAGTAAAATCATACAGTATTTGTCTTTCTCAGCCTGACTTATTTCACTTAGCATAATGCTCTCTGAGTCCATCCATGTTGTTGGAAATGGCAAGATTTCATTCTTTTTTATGGCTGAGTAATATTTCATTGTGTATATGTACCACCTCTTCATCTGTTCGTCTATCGATGGACTCTTAGGTTGCTTCCATATCTTGGCTATTGTAAAGAATGCTGTAGTGAACGTTAAGATGCACAAATCATTTCGAATTAGTGTTGTAGATTTTTTTGATAAATACCGAAAAGTGGGATTGCTGGGTCATATGGTAGTTCTAGTTTTAATTTTTTGAGGAAGCTCCATGTTGTTTTCCGTAGTGGCTGTACCAATTTACAATCCTGTCAACAGTGCACGAGTGTTCCCTTTCTCCATATCCTTGTCAATACTTGTTGCTTTATTGATAATAGCCATTCTGACAGGTATGAGGTGATATCTCATTGTGGAAATGATTTGCATTTCCCTGATGACTAGTGATGTTCAGCATCTTTTCATATGTCTGTTGGCCATCTGTGTGTCCTCTTTGGACAACTGTCTATTCAGGACCTCTGCCCATTTTTTCATCAGATTGTTTTTTTTTGGTATTAGGTTGTATGAATTCCTATATATTTTGGATATTAACCCCTCATCAGATATATCATTGACGGATACCTCCTTCCTTTCAGTAGGTCGTCTTTTTGTTTTATTGATGGTTTCCTTTACTGTGCAAAAACATTTTAGTTGGATGTAGTTACATCTGTCCAGTTTTCCCAGCACCATATACTGAAGAGATTACCATAGCCTTGTAGTATAGTCTGATATCAGGCAGTGTGATACCTCCAACTTTATTCTTCTTTCTCAAGATTGCCTTGTTTGGGGCTTTTGTGGTTCCGTATAAATTTTAGGATTATTTGTTCTAGATTGTGAAAAATTCCATTGGTATTTTGATAGGGATTGCATTGAATCTGTACATTGCTGTGGGTAGTATGGATGATTCAATGATGTTAATTCTGTCTATCCATTAGCATGGTATATGCTTATATTTATTTGTATCTTCATTTTCTTCAATGCCCTGTAGTTTTCCTAGTACAGGTCTTTTGCCCCCTTGGTTAAATTTATTCATAGGTATTTTATTCTTTTTGATGTAGTTGTAAATGGGATTGTTTTCTTTCTCTTCCTGATAGTTCATTATTCATGTATAATTTGTATCATACTTTACTACATTCATTTATTCTAATTTTTCTGGTGGAATATTTAGGGTTCTCTGTATACAATATGTTGTTTGCAAATAGTGACAGTTTTACTTCTTTTCCAGT